AAAAAAAAAAAAAAAATCACAGGACGAAGACTTTGGAGAAAATGTGGAGTATTAAAAATAGTGAGGTGCTGGGTGTGGTGGTATATCCCTACAAGCCCAGCACTGTGGGAGGCTGAGGCAGGGGGACTACAAGTTTGTACCCAGCCATGGCAATTTACTAGCTATTATGGTTTGTGTCCAGATGTCCCCTCTAAAGCCTCGTGTGGTCAGAGGGTTTTTTCAGAGGTGGCTGAATCGAGAGTGTGTAACGCTAGGATTAAGGAAGTGTGATTACTAAATCAGTCCACTGATTGGTTGGATAACACCCTAATCCGAGGCAGTCTGGATAAGATAAAAGGGACAGAATGACACTGCTAAGGTCCTTGCCTGCTTTGGTACCTTTGGTCCACCATGAACTGTTGATCCTCTGCCATGTGCCACCCTGCCTTAGAACCAGCTGATTATGGGTTGAGTCCTCTACAAACTATAAGCTATATACATTTTTCTCCCTTTAACTGTGGGTGTTTGGTACTTTGCCTCAGCAATGAAAAGAGTAACTAAGACAGCTACTGCTCAGTGCAAAGGCCTTGGGTTCAATCCCCAGTAAAGTAAACACAGAGAGAGAGAGAGAGAGAGAGAGAGAGAGAGAGAGAGAGAGAGAGAAACAGTGTGGCTCATGGGTAGCAATGCAAACTGGTATAATGTTTTGGGAGATAATTTGACATTACGAGTATATCCCTGTAGGAGTGTGAGAGTGTGAGTGTGTGTGTATGTGGCTTTAAGACAAATGAAAAACCACCTTCCTCAAAGAAAATGTGGTATCTTTCACAGAATGGGAGACCAGAAAGTTCTCTGGGTTCTGGGTTTATCTCATGACTTCCCAGGTTCTCAGAAGTTGTTTCTCCTCTTAGGGTTGAGTAGAAAGAAATAGTTTCTCACCCAAAGGAATACAGGATCACTGAATTATAAAGTCAGTGAGTCCTGTGTGCTTGTCATACTAAGTGCATTTAAAACTTAAGCCAAACCCCAACAACAGGACTGAATTACCATTTCATTTTCTTCACTCAGGTGACTTTTGTTCCCCACTTGAGACGCCACCCCCCCTTATGTGGTACTGGGGCTTGAACTCAGGGGCACTCTACCACTAAACTACATCCCCAGCCTTTTTAATTTTTTATTTTGAGACAGGATCTTGCTGAGTGGCCTAAACTTACACATGCCTGTAATCCCACCACTCCAGAGGCTGAAACTAGAGGATCACTGCAAGTTCAAGGCCAGCCTGGGCTAGACAGTGAGTTCAAAGCCAGCCTGAAATGCATAGTGAGGCATCATCTCAAAAAATAAAATAAAAAATAAAAACCAATAAATAAATAGATAGCCCAGACTGGCCTCAGACTTGTAGTCCTCCTATCTCAGCCTCCCAAGTAGCTGGGATTAAAGGGAACTCTTTTTTGCAGTTTAAGTCACCTATAATAAAACGCAGAGTTCCTTCAATACAATGTCAGATGAATTTCATCTATGTGCTCATCGATGTGACCTCCCAGTTTAGAACACAGGACTCTCCCGCCATCCGGGGAGCTCCCTTTGCTCTGTGCTTCAGCCGCCCTTTACGTTCCTGACTGTGGCTCCAGACTGTGGAGTCCCTGCTCCTGCACGTCCTGTGCTCCTGCACATCCTGTGCTCCTGCACTTCCTGTGAACACGTGCACTGTTCTCATGTGCACCGGCTCCTTCTGCTCACCACACAGTTTTGAAGATTTGTTTGCGTTGACACATCAACGATTCGTTCTTTCCCATGTTTGGACACTGAGTTGTTTCTGGTTTTGGGCTGTTATCAGTAATGAATTTTTTTATACCAGTCTTTCTGTGGACACACACCCTCATTTCTCTTGGGTAAGCATCCGGGCACGGCATTGCTGGAGTCCTAAGGTAGGTCTATGTTTAACTACTAGAAATGATCAGATGATCTGCCAAAGTGGTGGGAATGTTTTACATTCTCACCAGTAATGTATGAGTTTCATTTGTTCCACGACCTTGACGTTTTCAATCTTTTCACTGTGGGCATTCCGGTGGGTGTGAATTTCTCTTTCTACTACCAGGTGTACACATGCAGCAGGACATATGTGTAAGAATGCTCTCAGCCACACTGCATAATACTTGAAAAGTAAAAACAACCCAAATGTCCATCAAAACAGAAAGGATGAATCATGGTACATTCATGACATATGCTAAAAAAAAATCAGTGAACTCCAATTTCAGATATCAACAGGAATGAATATGACGACAAAAATATGTGAAGCAAAAAATATTAAATCATGGATGCCTGCTCATAGCATGAATCTGTGAAAAGTTAAAAAAAATATGCCAAAGAAGCTGGGGATTTAGCTCAGTGGTTCCGCCACCTGCCTCCCAAGCACAAGGTCCCAAGTTCATTCAATCCCCC